TTATTGTCATGTGTTGGACCGACTGTTGTACTTTACTGCCTTGGGTTCAGTTTGCTCTACAATTACACGTTGCAGTTAGTTCACTGTTATATGTTGCACTTTGTTACACTGTACTATTATCCGTTGGGTATTTCAGAGGTCGTTGGACATGAGTTATAATCTGCGTGCACGGACTTGTCTTAGAATATCGGTGGCAATCTATGCGTACTTATTCCCTTATACTTATACAAGTAACTATAATGACAATATTAAAACGCCCCACTCAAAACTTTTCCACCCCAGTCAAGTCAACTTGTAAACAATCACGAAAAAACAAACCGTGTGTGTGTGTGTGTGTGTGTGTGTGTGTGTGTGTGTGTGTGCATGTGTGTGAATAGATGCATGTATGATATATCAAACATAACCATACCCAAAACTCCATAATTGCAATTAAATCAAGGTCCATGTCACCCTAACGTAATACACATACACAATAACACTGTATAGTAACACTGCGTTAGTGTCATGAATATTCACTGACTTGCATATCTACTATCTCACGTCCTGCATAACCAAACATTTCTCAACTTAATAACCATACTCCATAATCCGAACCTTAAAAAGGATATATTAAGTCCTACGTAGTGATACTGAGTCATACGTAGGAGAATAATATGTCCTACGTAGCAGATACTAAGTCCTTCGTACGAGATAGTATGTCCTACGTAGGAGATACTAAGTCCTACGTAGGAGATAGTGACACCCAAAAGGGACACCGTGGCCCTACTATGCTTCCGTACAAAACTTCTGTCTATGTAATGTGGTTTTAAATTTTCTAAAGTCATTTTTAGATTTATGGAATTTTCTACGCATATTCCTACATTCAGTGTTGAACCAAGGCTTGTTAATTCTACCAGCTTTCGATTTGTGAAATTTAGCATGAGTCCTCTTTACACCGATCGTTTCACGCGCAGCATCTACTAGCATGTGCGCTATATCAGAAGCGATGTCATCTACCGTATCTGGGTCAACACCTGACTCACACGCTAACTTTGTGCGTCTTTGAATCTCCGATAGCTTTTCAATTTTCAAGTTTGGGCAGAACGTAGTAGATTTATCAATATCATATGGTTTGGCTTACTAGCTTGGATGATTTGCTCTTGTATCGGATTACTAACGGACTGGGACGTGCTGCTGCACGTGGAGGTTTTTAATGTAAAGTGGACAGGGCAATGGACATCAGAGTATAGAGGTGAGAAGTCAAATATTTCGAAGTCTTTATATAATGGTAGACATAAGGGGGACGCAATAACATAATCAATAAAAGCTTTATTTTCACACGTTGCCTTACCTATTGTTTTATCCTTGTCTAACCGCCCATTACAAAAAAAACATGCTTAGATTTTTACATAATTCGATCAGTTTAAATCCAAAATTGTTGCCTCTATCATCGTCTTGAGAAATTCTATCATGTGGAAGGTTTAGATCATCAAGAATAAATTCAGGGTTTATTTCAGTGTTCATTTCATCTAGGTCCATATCGAACTCATCAACAATATGCTTGTCTAATGATAGGAAGTCCTTCAATATTACAGTAGAACAACTGTGAAAAAGAATTATTGACTATAACGCAAGATTTAACACAACTATAGATGGATTTGATGCAACCGAACATCTTGGGTGTTAATCCTTTTGTTATAACTTAGCAATACATTAAGAATCACACGACCAAAAGCCAGGTTGTACACCATTGAAATAAATAGAAATATAGTTACGAAATGCATCATGCTATGACCAAATATGTTTCCCGATATTTTCTAATATTAGGTGCATACTGAATATGAAGCAGCATCTTAGAAACGCTGAGAGGGTACGTAAGTCCCAAAACTTTCAAAGTAAAATATAAATTATCACATTTTAAACGTAGTATTTTTGTTATTTTAACTGCTTGCTAAATTGTCCTACAATCGCCAGCGGCTGAAAGGATGGTGTAAATCCAGCTAGGATCCATGCAGGTAGCAAAAGTAATGTAAGTCCCCATGGCTCCTAGTATGGTCATCTACCTTCAGTTGTTGGCGATCTATAGCCCATTTTTATATTGTGTCGTCCCCTATAGTTAAAATGTTTTAGATTCAATTACTAGTTTTACATATATATCTGTGATACTCTAGTTGCTTTACTGTCCTTTGTCGGCAGGTTTTATAATCTCTAATATATTCTATTTCAATATCAAGTATTCTCGTCACGATATGGCTGAAATATTGCCGATGTGACGTTAAATAATAACTCACTCACTCACTCTTAGGAACGTATGCTCAACGTATATTGCCGTATGCACAAGCACCTGTTTCATGTCCGCCTAACTGGGTGCACACAGATGGCCAGGCTTGAATTGCAACTTTATTAATATAAATGGATCAAGAAATCAACATATATAGTAGGTGATTCATACAACTGACTGATGGACACATTTTATAACGAATAGAATACTATGGGTTTATCCTTAATTTCAAATTGTGATAACTGGTATCTCTGCTGCAACCGACTAACTGTTTGGATGGTGGAGGCATGGTACATCAAGGACATTTTAAACATATGTTGTCCGAATTATAAATCAAAATGTATATCAGATCATAATTATATATATATCTAAACAATTCGGTCGTTGTCTTAAGCAAATGATATAAACTTTAAATGTTCATAAACTTTTGAAATGTCATTTGAAAAATAAAATTCTGAATGAAAAGGTATCTGTTTTACGTCATCATATTAATGTACATACAAAACTATGATGAAAGGATCAGTGGATTTAGACTTTTCAACATGCATTTTTTCAAAGGACTGAAATTGCAACTATTATTGCGTCACAAGTCCTTTTGTATTAAAATCATCGGATATAGCTTAGTAGTCAATCACTTTATTATGTTGGCCTCTTTGATTTTGTATCATCAATGGATCCATCGTCCCAAACAAAGGGAGAATAAATTATCATAACACAAATCATAGAAAGGATTATTGAAAGTTGGAAAGGACTGGTTGGGATGGACTTTTGACTAAAGTTACTTTTTTACATTTGAGCAAATACCAACTCTCCACATATTTACCAGATAAATATACTGCAAAGGGGGACACTGTTTCAAAAAGAGATCCCCGAATTCATCTCACCCCAGTGAGGTGTTATGGAGGCGGTTATTTGGGCATGCTGCGTCACAAATCATGTATCATGGATTCACACATTTTTGACCGAGTTTAGACTGTTGAGCTGTTGTGCACGTTGTGCCTAGCCTATTGTGCTACATAGGCCCGATCAGTACAATTAGCCGCACCTTGAGAATTGTGTTATTAATAGATCTGCCCTCAGTCAAGGTGACATCCCCTCGAGATAAAGTTGATCCTGAGTATGACTTGAAGCCTGTCGGCATTCACAGTATATATGTGTGTCAGTACCGTTAATTTCCCCTACTCCAGGACGTCATTATGCATGTGATAATCACAACAGACATTATCAGCTGTGCCTTTGTATATAGTGCATTCATCGTCAATCAATATTTCACTGTACCGGCTCCACCGGAAACTTGTGGGCACGTTTAGCCATTAAGATAATCAGTGAGTGAATGAGTGAGTTTAGTTTTACACCGCACTCTAGCTTTATGGCAGTGGTCTCAAAATAATCGAGTCTGGACAAGACACATAGTCATCAACAGCATGAGCATCGATCTACGTAATTGGGATGCGATGACATGTGACAAGCTGATCCGGTTAGTCGCCTCTTCCGACAAGCATGGGTTACTGAAGATCAATTCTAACCCCAATCTTCACGTGTCTTTTCAAAATGATTAATTAAGATCGTTAGGTCGTTAGTAATTAAATGCAAGCTTCTTAAAATCTCAGCGACATAGAAAAACGTGTTAACGTTATCAAATCCATGACTGCAATGAGTTGCCGGCATGCCAGATCCTTAGTTACAAAGTTTTATGCCATGTCATGCTCAGTAAATATATTTTAGTTGACATAACATGTTTACTTTTGTCACTTGAGTCGGCGTGTAAATACTCCTTAAATCCAACAATATAAGGGAGTTATCTGAGAGCTGATCACGTGGTTAACATCCCATATACTTCGGTATTGACTTCCCCCGGCAACTGCGCACAGTCTCGAGGGAAATATTATTTAATATGAGGCTTAGAAAAGCGTCTCAGTTAGTGTTATGACGGGTCTTCCACTTTGGTGGTAGGAAAGAAGTATGTAGTCGGGTCATTGTTGTTGGTCCCTGGCCTAGATTCAATCGACAAAACCTGTTTCATAATTACAGTCACCTTGAATGTAAACAAGGAAAACCGGTTCTTTTATTACAACCAAGCATTAAAACTCTCAGTGACATTGCAATGAATGATGAACAATACTTTTAATATTTTAATGTCCGTTTATTTGTCGTTTATAATTGCTGCAACATTCTCGCTATAAGGCAGTGGTCTGTAAGCAATCGTGTATGAACCAGACAATCCAGTGATCAACAGGATAAGCATCATCCTGTGCAACTGGGATACGATGGCATGTGTCAAGCGACCACCGGATCCCGTGAGTCGCTTCTTATGACCAGCATGGATTGCTAAAATGCCAATGATAACCTGGCTCTTCTCGAGTCCTGCCTTTATGTGACTTTTGAGGTGATGACATATTTACTGCTTTCCTCTTCTTCCTCTTCAGGCAACAAGAAGTGGGTGTTCATGGCTGTTGTCATGATGTCACTAGTGATGGTTTTCTACGCATACCATACAAGGCTAAATGGCGAGGCACATATAGCCAAGCAAAATGTCGTGGCGTATACAGACAATCGGACATATATTTCCGGTAATGTTATCATTGTTATCGATTGTTTTTTTCATTTATCATTCCTGCATTCAGAACATTTTTAAAAATTCACTGTTCACCTGAATCTAGCACAGGGTTAAGAGACGCAACATAATTCCAGAAAATCAAAAATTAGAAAAGTAAAGTTTCAGTTTGAAGAACTGTCTTTCTTTTTATTTTAGTTCAAAAAGTGGACGGAGCCTATAGCAATCTATTGAAGCTTTACCAGAAGAAACTTGGAGGTACATCTGTAGTAGTCGTGTGTGCTCGCATATTTAGTTGAAGAGCAAGTATCATAATGCTTGGCGATATATCTTGAATGAGATGAAGAAGCACATTGTGGGTTGGCACCTTAAATATGAGATGAAGCAGCATAGTGTGTGATGGCACATTTAGTCTGAGAGAAAGCAGCATAGTGTGTGATGGCACATTTAGTCTGAGATGAAGCAGCATAGTGTGTGATGGCACATTTAGTATGAGATGAAGCAGCATAGTGTGTGATGGCACATTTAGTATGAGATGAAGCAGCATAGTGTGTGGTGGCACATTTAGTCTGAGAGAAAGCAGCATAGTGTGTGATGGCACATTTAGTCTGAGAGAAAGCAGCATAGTGTGTGATGGCACATTTAGTCTGAGATGAAGCAGCATAGTGTGTGATGGCACATTTAGTCTGAGATGAAGCAGCATAGTGTGTGATGGCACATTTAGTCTGAGATGAAGCAGCATAGTGTGTGGTGGCACATTTAGTCTGAGAGAAAGCAGCATAGTGTGTGATGGCACATTTAGTCTGAGATGAAGCAGCATAGTGTGTGATGGCACATTTAGTCTGAGATGAAGCAGCATAGTGTGTGGTGGCACATTTAGTCTGAGAGAAAGCAGCATAGTGTGTGATGGCACATTTAGTCTGAGATGAAGCAGCATAGTGTGTGATGGCACATTTAGCCTGAGAGAAAGCAGCATGGTGTGTGATGGCACATTTAGTCTGAGATGAAGCAGCATAGTGTGTGATGGCACATTTAGTATGAGATGAAGCAGCATAGTGTGTGATGGCACATTTAGTCTGAGATGAAGCAGCATAGTGTGTGATGGCACATTTAGTCTGAGATGAAGCAGCATAGTGTGTGATGGCATATTTAGTCTGGGATTTAGCAGCATAGTGTGTGATGGCACATTTAGAATGAAATGAAGCACTATAGTGTGTGATGGCACTTAAATATTAGATAAAGCAGCGTACTGTGCACATCTTGTATGGGATTGAGCATCATAATGCGGGATCTTGTAGGAGAACAAGCCTCATATTGTGTGAAGAGACATCCGGCATGGGGTGAAGCGATGACATATATTATCTGGGTAAGGATGATGCATCTTCCTGTGTGGTGGTTTTCTAGTATGAGATGACGCAATATAGTGTGTGATCTATACTAGGCACATAAAGAAACTGTGCATACAAAAATTTTAAATCTAAATTTATCAAACCTGTGTAGACACATAAGGATTTAAACTCAGAGATTAGTGACATGTATCCAACATGCATGCACGTGCCACGTTCCGTGACGTCAGTGAGTTCGTCCTTGAGACGTGCAATACGTTGTTGCACGTGCATTCCGGGAAAGAGAAACAGAGCAAATGAATGCAACACAATACTGTCACTTTGGAAAGCTCAACCCCTGCCCTTGCGATCGTTCAAACATTAAACGGCTATTGAAACGCATAGCATGCCAAGGCTCACGTCTGCACAAAGTCATGAGGCCATTGGGATGGTCCGTGAGGGTATGTCTTAACGACAAGTGGCTGCACATTTCCACTGCCACCGGAACACCATTTCTGCACTGGTGAGACGCTACCAGAACACAAATGACGTCACTGATCGGCCACGTTCTGGACGGCCACGTGTAACAACGCCAAGACAGGACATATGGATAAGGGTGACCCATCTTCGCCACAGGTTTCAGACTGCAGTGATGACTGCCCGAACAATCCCAGGACTTCGCCGTATCAACCCCAACACAGTTCGACAACGTTTACTTCATCACGGGATTAGACCACGGCGTCCCGCCATACGGCCTATCCTGACACAACGTCATCGACAAGCTCGCCGAATGTGGTGCCGAAATCATGTCCGCAGACCCTTGTTTTGGTAGAGAAATGTTGTTTTTACAGATGAGTCCAGGTTTAACATTTCCCATAGTGATGGACGTCAACGTGTCTATAGACGCGTGGGAGAACGTTATGCACAGGCGTGTGTCTTGGAGAGGAATCGCTTTGGTGGTGGTTCCGTGATGATTTGGGGTGGAATAACAGCACGCCAAAGAACTCCTTTGGTGATTGTTCAGGGCAACTTAACTGGTGTGGGCTACAGGGATCAGATTCTTCGACCTGTGGCAATTCCTTTTCTTCAACGTCATGGCCCTGGGTTAACATTCCAACAGGACAATGCCCGCCCTCATACGGCAAGGGTTGCTATGGATTTCTTGCAACACCACAACGTTGACTTACTGCCTTGGCCTGCAAATTCACCGGATCTCTCCCCGATAGAGCATGTTTGGGACGAGATGGATCGACGTCTACGCCGTCTTCCTCACCCCCCAGATAACGTCCTTGACCTTGCAACAGAACTTGAGAGAATCTGGCGTGACATCCCACAGGCCTTCCTTGCACGTTTGATAGGCTCTATGCGTCGTCGATGCACTGCTGTTCTCAATGCCGTTGGTGGACATACCCGTTATTGAGCTTGTGACATGGTCGTTTGACCCCTGTCCCGTTTGTGGACTCATGACGTCATTGTGATTGACTTTTCAATTGAAATTCTCCCGACTTGTTATGGTCCCATGATCCCTCCATTAAAGTTTATATGTACCTTTGACATTGTTATCGTACTTATCAACTGGGATGATATTTTGACAATGCACAGTTTCTTTATGTGGCTAGTGTAGTTGGGGAGCATACATCACATTGTGTGATGGCATATCTAGTTGGAGAGCAAATATGATAGTATGTGGTGGCTTATCTTGTGGAAGTGCAAGTATCTAAGTGTGTGATTTCTGAATTAATAGGAATGCGAGTTTTATGAAATGCGATGGCATTTCTGTTTTTTATGGTATATCTGGTATGGTATGAAGCACCACAGTGTGAGATGACAAAACTGGTACGTTATTAAGCATCACAATTTGTGATTGTGCAACTGGTGTATACAGCATCACAGTGTGTGATGGCACAGCTGGTACGATATACAGCATCACAGTGTCTGTTTGCACAGCTGGTACGATATAGGCATTACAGTGTGTGATTGCAAAGCTGATACGATATGAATGAATGAATGAATGTCTTTATTTCCTCCAGATAGGTCCGAAGATCCTCAAAACATTATGGTTATATACTTATATAATTAACAGAATACTCAACAAACATACACACACACACACACACACACATATATATATATATACGTGTACATACATAGAATATGGGAACATTTCCCCAAATATATACAGGTTATTTACAGTCGGGTATTGGCTAGATTATTACCACAGGTAATTGAGGATATCTTTTAATTTATACAAATACTTTGAGAATTCTATAATAGTGAAATGCCTTTTTATTTCATCAATATCATTGTTATTGGCCCCAAGAAAGAATGCCAGCATGTCATGCTCTTCCATCATCTCTATTTTGATATACATGTTAATATCAAGATTACCGATTAGAGTTGAGAAAAATACATCTCTCTCTGAAAGTAGAGATCCACAGTTTAGGATAACATGGTGAAAGAAATCGTTAGCGAAGGTATTACATTTTTTACATTCTTTTGATAGTTTGCTTCCGGATCCAATCCTTATTACATATTGCAATTCTTCTCTCAGTTCTGGATATAACAATGCCATGTAGTATAACACATGAGGTTAAAGTGCTGTATGGATTTTAGAATATCAAGACAAGTCAGCTCTGCATGATAGTTTATATTTCCAAACTTCTTCCTCGTGGTTACTTATTTCATTTACTACAATCTTTCTCCACTTATGTTTCGCCGGGAATTCTCCTGTGCAGATGTAGTCAAATACATAATGAAGTAAGTTATATTTCTTAGCTGTTGAAAGCAGTACTCCACATAAACTGTCTAAGTTCTTGGTATGAGAATAATAGAGTGAGGTAGATGCACAAAAGATTGTTTTACAGATTCGGGCACATGATAAGTTACAGAGACGCCCAATCAGCTGTAGTCTGCATTTATCTATATAGCCGACCATGCTCCAGAGTCCTAGACCAGCAATGGTGGCGTCCAGTCTAAGTAAACTTAGTCTCAATACTATTCGTTACACTCCAGTATAGTAGGGTAACGAATAATACTGAGGCTAAGTTTACTTAGACTGGGTGGCGTCAGTAGGAGAGCGTTTATTAAAACCTCGTACAATCCTGGCAAAGTAGCGCTGAGTGCTTTAAGTTAGTTCAAGGTCTTTACCATGGAGCGTGGGTAGTAATTCACAGCCATAAAAACTCGTTGTTAATATCATTCTTTTCCATATCTTAATACTTGAATACTGATGCAAATCCCTAGTGTTTAGACCAACAGAGAGGAGGGAATTAACAGTGCGCCTTGCTTTAGTACAGCTCTCCTCAATATATAGTTTAAAAGAAAGATTACTTTGGAGAAGAACACCCGCGTACTTTACACTATCAGACAGGGGTATGTCATGATCTCCAAGATGATAAGCATGCATACGCATTAGTTCATCACTGTTCATCCAAGTTTGTCCTTATCTGACTCTCCAACTTCTACAAATGCCACTCAAAGAAGGATAGCCTCAGCCTCCACCGTAAACATTTAATTTCCATCTACTAAACGAAACGACAGAGTCTCATCATGAGTAACAGGTGCAGCTGTCAGCGTGTCTCCATTTTTCGATCCACCATTGTATATATTATTTTTTTATAACCGGAAGAGTTGTGTTGAATTTCTAGGAAAGCTTGTTGACATGATAAGGGGTTTGTATCAGCCTTTCGTTCAAGTTGGTACTGTGGCACCACAGGTAGTTTGATATCGGCAATTGCAGATAGATTTAATTTACTTTGTTGAATTCGGACCCCAAGTGGAGCAATTGAGCTGGGTTCATATCATCATCCGATAACGAGGATTAACAACAATGTTACAGGCAGAATAGGATGGATTGGAATGGAGTTCAGTAACATGCTGCAGTGCCAGTTCTATCCGTTTTAAATGCGCCTAAACATAGTCTAAGACCATGGTGTCAAGGTCTTGAATGTAGGACTTACGGCTGAACCATGTATGAAAAAACAGCCATAACCAAACCTAGATCTTTGGATAAATTGCGAGGTAATTGGAATATCAACCAGTTTTGTCGATGTCATAAGATTAATGTGCTTGAAACTTCCTGGCCCATTCAACCAAAAGTCTTTTCACATCTTCTGAATCAACGGCATTACTGTTTAGCCCTTTTTCCTAAAGAAATTGTGATTATGAAGGAAGGTTACGTTCACTATTTGCTTCAATGACAAGAAAACGATACCAAATATCCCTCTCAGAACAGAGTAACTTGGTGACTACTTCATCAGAAGAAGAATCAGGTTCCGAATCTGATTCTGACAGTTGGCGTGTCTTTTAAAAGTTTATCCATGGTAGTATATATTGTGGTTCAGCAACCCGGCTTCCTGCTCCAACAAGGGCGATGTCATGTGTAAGTGATATTCAAACAATGAGACCAAAGGAATGTTATACTCCAGTTGATTCAGATGGTCAACCAGATTGGCCCATAAGCCACCGCCTTCTGGGCATATGCTCCAGGCAGGTATTTTAAACACATATATGAAGATTATTCACAGGACAGTTTACTGAGTAAACATACAAACATACAAACACAGGGCTTGACATGACCAGCCGATTGATAGAACCGGGTCCAATCGTCCACCCGACTTGGTGAAATAAAGGTGGTTTGTTGGGCAAAGAAAAACGCTATTCCTCAACAACCAGAATCCCGTCCTTCACCGACATTGGGGCGCAACCCAAACAGGTTGCCTGACAGATTCGGTCGCCTTTTTACGACCAACAATGAGGTGCTGTTGACCCATTTCACCCCGGGTCTACACAGGGAAAGAGGTATAAGCTTTACTCGGCATTCACCGCGAGAAGGTTGCTCTTCACGAGTGCTACACAAAAAGAAATCACTGTGCACATTTTCATTTGCTTAGCTTAGCTTTGCCTTGCTTTTCTTTGCTTAACAAGTTGTTCGGCAATTACAAATGATAAAATTCAAAAATGTGTCAACATGACAAATTGCTAACATGTTGGAAAAAACAAAAATAAAACATAACAAAAATGTCTTCTCAGTTTTGCGGGTTCGTGTTTACGATATTTTCCGAACTGAGCTTCTCTATTGAGCTATTATTGACTGCCTATGGTTAGGTGATAGTTGGCTGTTGGGATAAAATTCTTGATCTGCGGTGATTGTCATGTTGGGCTGTTTGATCATGAATTAGTTGTCCTCAATATCAAAATACTCTTAATACTCTTAAACTTAATATCAGGAGACTCAACCCGACACTCAACAGAGATCGAGGTATTTACATTACTACAGCTTACCAATGATTTAGCCTACATTGCAATATTATGTACATAGTCTCTTCCTGCATCAGAGTAAAGCACAGATCCATATGTGTGGTACAATTAGACAGGAATATTAACGGGTATGGGTACACTCCGTTCATGTAGCATGAACAAACAGATCATGACGAAACACTACAAGTTTTATGCTTCTCTCGAGGGCAATACGGTCTGATGGGTTTAACCTCACTGTGCCCCCCAGCTATATGATTTAAGCATTTGTTGTAGTGCTGGAGTCATTGAATGGATAATCAGTCAATCTATCTTACTTGTGACAGATATTATAGATATACTTTGAGACTAATTAATATTCATAAAATATGAAACATCAAATTGAACTTTAGAAAGTATGTATTTCATTGTTATGTTTGTTAAATCAAGACATAAACTTATTACACGCCCGTGGAAGATACTGCGGTGTAATATTGTTATTTATTTGTACTTAATCCCTTGTTAATCCACCAATTGTCAGTTAGTTAACCACGGATGACTGCTTCACGCCCTGAAACAAAGGCAGGGGGCACAGTGAGGGACCCCCGTCTGATGTACGCCTCTTTGTAGCAGCGTCAGCCAAACATGTAGGCGAGGGATGACATTGCTACAAAAAAGCGTACATCAGACCTTATTACCTGAGGGAGAAGCATACAACGTATTTATCTTACCGCCATGTTAAATGTGCAAAATATAATTTTATTTTATTTTGAAGATCGCTACCGACTATATGACATGTAAAACAATGGCGTCTGTCTCTCGACTGGACTTTCAAAATCAGTGAAACATATACTCTGACAAGCTTAAAACTGGTATAAGAACGGTGAATTATGTTTACATTGAGTGTGCAAACAATTCAATGTACAAAATAGTTTAAATAGAGCAGTGAAAGTCGGTAAAATAATTGTGTACATAGTGAACTCAAAAACAGCTAATCGAATGGTTTTCGAGCTCCGGGCACTGCATGCGTCATATCCTGACGTCATGCGATTGTTAGCGACACAGCCTCTCGGGTAAGAGTTTGACGGTTACCGTGGCAGCGGGTAATTTTGTTTTTACAGTTGTCACCCTATTGAGAGGGGTGACACGGAAACTTTTTAAAGGGTCATTGACCAATGAAATTAAAGTATTCTACATGACGGTAAGATAAAGATCCAAGTGTACCTGCCTGCTTCCCCTTGTTGCAGGCTGCAGTGTAAGAACCGAACTGCGTTAACGGTTTGGCTGTCAAAAGTTCTACTTGTTAGAGTGTTTTTGTTTTAGTGTCGCTTTCTGTTGTAACAGTGTACGTATATGACGGACTAATAATTAGGCCTGGACCAGGAAATCCGGAGTTTGAGATTTCTGAAAACGAGATACGATGGCATACATGAAGCACATGAACGACTCTTTCGGGTACAGTCCGTGTATTTACGCTTTGCGGTAAAATATAGCTTGGATTGTGCAGTGAAAATATCTTTTGAAATATGTTTGTTTGATATCGTGTTCTACATTAATCTGAACAGTTTTTTAATGACAAATCTTTTGTCAATGTTATCTTAAAATATTGGAGATATACACATATCCTATGCACAGAAAGAGTACATGAACTTTTTTTCTGTAAACATGTATTCTATATTTACAGATTTGCAGAAGTCCAATCTGTGGTCGACCATCCCAAACACTCCTACATGCACAAAAGAGATGCACCCATGTAAGGCTACATACAAAGTATTCGTATCCTTAGATATACCTATCTGAATATGTTCATATAACACACCCTTTAAAATGGAAGAATAACATTCCCCAAGGAGTTATTCAGAGTGAATGAGTGAGTTAGTTTTACGCCGCACGGTCTGTAAATAATCGAGTCTGGACCAGACAATCCAGTGATCAACAGCTTGAGCATCGATCTGCGCAATTGGGAACCGATGCCATGTCTCAACCAAGCCATCGAGCCTGACCACCCGATCCCGTTAGTCTCCTCTTACGACAAGCATGGGTTACTGAAGGTTCATTCTAACCCGGACCTTCACGGGTCGTTATTCAGAATCCAATTGCCTCCATATGTAGCCGTATTAAATCTGTATTCTATGCTCGTGGTGGCCACAACAGATACTGACATGTTGGTTCATCCCAGTATCTGTTATGTTGTTTGAGTAAGTTCACAGCTAATCCTGTGTCGGAAATATATAAAGCTATCCAATTACGGTGTTGTTATGTTTTTAATATCACTTTGTTTATAGACACATAAAAAAACTATTAACCTACTAAACGAATTTTTTGATTAAAATGGTGAAATTCAAAATATTACAATATTCATGACTACGTAAACCAGAAGCAAGAGACAGAACGCTTTCCAAAGTCCTAATACGTCCATTCAGCGATTCCTACTCGACACTATTCTGACGAAATGGAAACGGTAATACCAACTATTAGAGCAAAGACAGGTGTTAATGATAAATGCCAAATGCAAGAATGTTTGTGGATGCAAACCTAAACACCCATACAGCGTGTCATTCGTGATTTTCATGGAAGTTCAAATGATATCAGTAAATATCAGTGACATCAGTAAACCGTTTTTGTAAGTGTTATTGATTCTGCTCTTTACAAATGTCAACCTAATATGCCATGTCAGATTTGGCGGCGGATCAGTTCAGGTGTGTGGTGGCATTGTGTACATTTATTCACTCTTCACAACTAACTAGCATGCACATTTCTCAATATCGTTATTCAAATTTCATTTTGATGCCTTTTATTTGCTTTTCAGCAACGTTATGTACCGATCCAGATTGTCGTCAGGATATACCAGAACAACCTCTAGCCAGACTCCAGAACGTTCTCAACTCTATGCGCTCAGAGGATTTGAAAACAGTAAAACAAATCAATCAGTTGAAGGAACTGCAAGTACAACACACAGGAAAACAGATTCTCTTCCTTACTGGATCATCATCTAACCACTTTACGGAATCCCAAGCAATGCTAAAGAACTTCCATGAAACCATCCCCACAGTATTTAGTAATTATTCACTTAGATACTATGATCTGGGACTAACACAAGCAGAACGGGCACAGGTAAGTCAACCTAAACATCATGATAAGGATCGATGACTACCCCCGAATAATAGTTCTCTATGACACGGTACATTAAATACATACCCAGAACCCCTTGATTCCAGCTTGAATGACACAACTGTACCAACAGGTGTGCATGCATGTTGTTATCAATGAGGCATTCGGTATCGATTTAAAAAACATATGTAAAGTAATTGTTTTTAAAATGGGAGGCCGCCTGACACAATGGGAAACTGATAATGCATATATGTTCATATGTGCAGCTGTTTGGTTTAACTGACGGAGAAGCGACGGTACGTTTGGGTTCATCCAATCACTGACGCGGCTTCTGTCCATGAAGTTGATCCTGATGAAGGAACACATGGACCATCAGACCATCATGCAAAATTGTGGATACATTATTACCATGGCTTAAGTCAGATAAATTAGTCGGAAATCTTAATTACGGAAATGGAGTCAACAGACTCTCATAATGTCTTCATTATAAATGCACCTGGAAGCGGTTTGAATGTGTTTGTTTTGATAACGAGGATTCATTTGAATGAAGTTGCTCAAAAGAGGCGATTTGAATAGTTATTGACTGCAAACTTATGGACAAGAGAACTAACTGCATGTATGACTATCTTCTAAGTTGGTAATTCGAGAGACTGAGATAGCAAAGTCTCCTCCAATACGACTCTTGAACCGTATGGTATATGCCACATTTGAATGGTGATTTGATAAACTGAGTTATCAAGGATGATCGTCCATTTGATATTTGAAAAAAGTAGTTTCTCATCCGATAAATCAGCTTAGCACAAGAGTTGAATTTTCTTTTCTGTAAAAAAAAGGTTTTTGTGGATACCAATAGTTTGGAATCCCATGCATTAGGCGTTCTAGAATTCTGTAATAAAGGATTCGATTCAGCTTGGATATGATATGATAGTGCCTGCCTGTGATCATGTTAACATAAAAAAAAAGAATTCAGTTTTTAACAACAGTGCGCTGGGACACTGCCATGTAAATGTATAAGGATACAAATGGTGACGCTATCATACATCCCGAGTAAGGATACAAGTTGGGTTGCTGTCATCTAACTGAATAAGGATACAACTGGCGATGCTCTCATTTAACTGTCATATGACTGTATAAGCTTACAAGTGGGTTAGAAGGTTAGAAGTGGAGATACTGTCATATGACTGTATAAGCTTACAAGTGGGTTACAAGGTCAGAAGTGGAGATACTGTCATACGACTGTATAAGCTTACAAGTGGGTTACAAGGTTAGAAGTGGAGATACTGTCATATGACTGTATAAGCTTACAAGTGGGTTAGAAGGTTAGAAATGGAGATACTGTCATATGACTGTATAAGCGTACAAGTGGGTTAGAGGGTTAGAAGTGGAGATACTGTCATATGACTGTATAAGCTTACAAGTGGGTTACAAGGTTAGAAGTGGAGATACTGTCATATGACTGTATAAGCTTACAAGTGGGTTAGAAGGTTAGAAGTGGAGATACTGTCATATGACTGTATAAGCTTACAAGTGGGTTACAAAGTTAGAAGTGGAGATACTGTCATATGACTGTATAAGCTTACAAGTGGGTTAGAAGGTTAGAAGTGGAGATACTCTCATATGACTGTATAAGCTTACAAGTGGGTTACAAGGTTAGAAGTGGAGATACTGTCATATGATTTTATAAGCTTACAAGTGGGTTAGAAGGTTAGAAGTGGAGATACTGTCATATGACTGTATAAGCTTACAAGTGGGTTAGAAGGTTAGAAGTGGAGATACTGTCATATGACTGTATAAGCTTACAAGTGGGTTACAAAGTTAGAAGTGGAGATACTGTCATATGACTGTATAAGCTTACAAGTGGGTTAGAAGGTTAGAAGTGGAGATACTCTCATATGACTGTATAAGCTTACAAGTGGGTTAGAAAGTTAGAAGTGGAGATACTGTCATATGACTGTATAAGCTTACAAGTGGGTTAGAAGGTTAGAAGTGGAGATACTCTCATATGACTGTATAAGCTTACAAGTGGGTTAGAAGGTTAGAAGTGGAGATGCTGTCATATGACTGTATAAGCTTACAAGTGGGTTACAAGGTTAGAAGTTGAGATACTGTCATATGACTGCATAAGGTTACAAGTGGGTTACAAGGTTAGAAGTTGAGATATTGTCATATGACTGCATAAGGTTACAAGTGGGTTAGGAGGTTAGAAGTGGAGATACTGTCATATGACTGTATAAGCTTACAAGTGGGTTACAAGGTTAGAAGTGGAGATACTGTCATATGATTTTATAAGCTTACAAGTGGGTTACAAAGTTAGAAGTGGAGATACTGTCATATGACTGTATAAGCTTACAAGTGGGTTAGAAGGTTAGAAGTGGAGATACTCTCATATGACTGTATAAGCTTACAAGTGGGTTAGAACGTTAGAAGTGGAGATACTCTCATATGACTGTATAAGCTTACAAGTGGGTTACAAGGTTAGAAGTTGAGATACTGTCATATGACTGTATAAGCTTACAAGTGGGTTAGAAGGTTAGAAGTGGAGATGCTGTCATATGACTGTATAAGCTTACAAGTGGGTTACAAGGTTAGAAGTTGAGATACTGTCATACGACTGTATAAGCTTACAAGTGGGTTACAAGGTTAGAAGTGGAGATACTGTCATATGACTGTATAAGCTTACAAGTGGGTTAGAAGGTTAGAAGTGGAGATACTGTCATATGACTGTATAAGCTTACAGGTTGGTTACAAGGTTAGAAGTGGAGATACTGTCATATGACTGTATAAGCTTAGAAGTGGGTTAGAAGGTTAGAAGTGGAGATACTGTAATATGACTGTATAAGCTTACAAGTGGGTTACAAAGTTAGAAGTGGAGATACTCTCATATGACTGTATAAGCTTACAAGTGGGTTAGAAGGTTAGAAGTGGAGATACTCTCATATGACTGTATAAGCTTACAAGTGGGTTAGAACGTTAGAAGTGGAGATACTCTCATATGACTGTATAAGCTTACAAGTGGGTTACAAGGTTAGAAGTTGAGATACTGTCATATGACTGTATAAGCTTACAAGTGGGTTAGAAGGTTAGAAGTGGAGATACTGTCATATGACTGTATAAGCTTACAAGTGGGTTAGAAGGTTAGAAGTTGAGATATTGTCATATGACTGCATAAGGTTACAAGTGGGTTAGGAGGCTAGAAGTGGAGATACTGTCATATGACTGTATAAGCTTAGAAGTGGGTTAGAAGGTTAGAAGTGGAGATACTGTCATATGACTGTATAAGCTTACAAGTGGGTTAGAAGGTTAGAAGTGGAGATACTGTCATATGACTGTATAAGCTTACAAGTGGGTTAGGAGGTTAGAAGTGGAGATACTGTCATATGACTGCATAATGTTACAAGTGGGTTAGAAGGTTAGAAGTGGAGATACTGTCATATGACTGTATAAGGTTAAAAATGATGACACTGTCATAATATCATATCTTAGTGTATAAGCGTACAAGTAGGAACGCTGTCATATAACTGTATAAGGATACAAGTTGGGACGCTGTCTTTATGTTACACGTACGGACTCTGTCAAGTGACAGAATATGGATGCAAGTGAGACGATATCATATAACTGTATAAGTTTACAAGTTGAGACGCCGTCATGTAACTGTTGAAATACTAGGACTTTACGTCCACACTTCACGTCCGCACATGTCTTAGAATGACTGAAAGTCAAACCAACTATCTGACTCCTCTCACAATACCCCCTTGTTCCAGGTTGAGAAGCACTGCAAATGTGATGTGAAAATCTTCCCATTGCAAAAGTTGGACCAGTGGATGAGACGGATGGAATGTTATATTTGGAAACCCATAATAATACAGGTGAAATATTTCGTGCATTCCTGGAACGTTAATGGTATCACTTATAGTATCATAAAAGTTCATTCTTGAACAACGAAGTATTCGACGATGTTTTCCTCTCGGCAATTTAGACTGTTGTGGTCTGTTATTGAACACATCAATTTCAACAACAAGTTTCCATTACTGACGGGAACGTCCTATGAGTAAGTTACAACTTTTCATGCAAAGAAAAATCAGCTTAATGGAGAATCGTAACAAACATTTTCGAAACTCGACCACCATAGAAACACCAGTCTCGATTATATTCCTGCCATGTGTTCGAGAAATGCGAAATGCGAAACACTTATGAACTTGTCTTTATTGATATCTCAGTAACTGAAAGTAGTCTGGTGACTTTCAGGCCAACATAAAGGCTGCTGACATTGTGGTGTGGATGGACACCTCCATCAGGCTACCGACGGAAGGGTTGAAGAAAGCACTGATGGACGTTCCTCTTCAGGGGTTGACCATCGGAGGTGGGGGAGGACGAGCTCCCACATTTATTGACACAAGGATGATAAACTACTTCAATACCACAGCGTGTATATATGCGCCATTCACCATGGTGGAAGCCAATTTCATGATGTTTCATAATGAAGAGTTTGTGAGAGATGCCATAATTGCACCTTGGATGGCATGTGCTGTAAATCATAATTGTATGTGTCCTGATAAATCCATTCTTTATTGTAATTATAGCCAGAACAAGTATGGCATTTGCCATAGGTATGACCAAGCTGCAATCAATGTAATTGCTATGCAGTTGTTTGGAAAGCATATCGAGAGTTTACGAGCAAAGAATCTTAAGAGCGAAGTTAAAAGAGGCGATTCTTTTGCATATTTCAAGTATTTAGATTCACAGTTGAAACAAAAAGTTACCTGAAAAAGTGCCAGAAAGAGTCCATTGTACTCTTCCCAATTTAACAAACTGCCATGGGGTGAAAGATATAGGGTTTTTTTTGCTCAAATGAGAAGTCTCTTATAATTGCTGTTTATGCTGAAGTGGGCATAGACGTTTAATGTTCAAGTATGTGGTCTCTTTACAAGAACCAGCTGCTCTTGGTGAGACAAATGCCTACTTATTTTTGTATAGTTTTTTCTAACTCCGGCATGATAAGTTAAGGAAAACCCAGTGAAAACCCATTCATTGGACCCGAGCATTATCTCCTTCGTGTCATTCGTGAGTCAAGTTTCGCCTTTATATTTCCAGACATCTTTGATACAATATTGTTCATTATTTATGGTATTGTTTTTTATGAATAAACTATTTTATCTCTTTTTTTTCTCTGTATGTTGTGTTCCACTCCTAGTTGTTGCGAAATACTTTCCATTTCATTCGTACATTATATGGTGGTCATTCTGCTATGACGTTGTGAACTTTTCTAACGAAATACTAATAATAAAATCATGTATCAAGAAACGAAATCGGGTTGTGCGTGACCGTTTGGCATGAACGGTAGAAAAGCCATAAACACAACGTCGAGCATGTTTACAGGTTGATTGGGCAATGTGTGCATTCAGCTTGGTTCTCTTAGTAATTCAAGGAATCTATCACACACAGTCAGCAGCAGTCATAATTATGTCCTGCCCCCAGCCTGTTTAAGCAGTTAGGCTAGGAATCAGATGTGGGGGAAGGTGGCCCACACGGCCAGAACCGCCGACTTTAAGTGACAAGTACCACGGCACGACAAAGCCGATTTCCTGGAACAGTGTTAGTATTGATGTAAATGTAATTAATTTCGAGTTTCATCTCAAGTATCCATCAGTATTTCCATTTTAGTAATGAACATCTTGATATGCACACAACAAGTAGCATATTCTACAATACTGGCTACACACATACACGAATGTTCATATTGTAAATCCATTGCCTTGTCAGAGTCTGCCTCCGCTGCTGTTTTTGTCTGCTCAACTAAATCCAAACTGAACTCGTCTTTTAGTCTGCATGCATTTGTTGAGGTAATATGTTGATGACCGACCTTTGGTATGCGTATACACAAACCATCACGTTTTATGCCTGCTAACCTTGCATATAATAGGCTCTCAGGTCACGCTCATCTGACGGCAGCTGATGAGAGAATGAGCCAGTGTCAAATTGCCTGGTTGAATCCACCGACCAATAGCCCTTTGAACCCACTGGAGTGTACGAAATTCTAGCGATATAGCGAGGTACCGCTGTGATGATACCGTCAAGTAGTATAAACAATGGGGGTAGGGGACCAACCTATATAAGGCAAGGAATCAATAAGTATCTATTCCTAACTCATATTAATTTATAAATCCATAACACAACTACTTTTTATCTCCCCGTAAAGTAGTCATAGTCTTACTCGAAAGAGTAAGACTATAGCTACTTTTAAGGGAGATAAAAAGTAACCATAGTCTTACTCGACATAGTAAGACTATGGTGTATGGGGTCATCCTATATAAGGCAAGCAATCAATAAGTATCTATTCCATAACATAACTACTTTTCACCTCACCTGTAAAAAGTAGCTATAGTCTTACTCAAAAGAGGAAGACTATGTGGTACGGGGCATGGAATCAATAAGAATCCTATTAATTTGTAAACATATAACTTTTTATCTCCCGAGGAAGACTGTGTTTATGTTTTTCTCTCACCATGAGAGTGTCACATTTCATGAAGCCAAATGGTATCAAGTCCCTCGATGTATGAAAGGTGTATGTTACGGGTTAGATTACACAATCCTATATCTATTACATCATCTTATGTTTAACATGAAGGATGTTTGTCTATTTAGAGAATTGTTCTCACATATAATATCAACACTGTGTTTGTAACTTTATGATATGTTTACAGTACATGAATTGAAAAAGCAAGCACGAGACCGTGGACTTAGGTCTGTATTAGGTCTTAAGTATCAAAAAACACCTACTGGGAAAGAACTAACAAAGCAAGCTCGTGAACGTGGAATGCGAGGTTATTCTCGTATGAGGAAATCTGAGCTCATTGAATTACTGAAAGAACAAAAACCTATAGAATTACAATTCACGCCTACTGAGCATGCTGTAGGTAAATATTTGAGAGGTTGGAAGATGGCAGTTCAAAGAAATATAGACGTTGAAGATATAAAACCATTGGTATTTGACAAAGTAAACGAAGAACTGAAAGATTTAAGAGGTTTTAAATTTCAACTCACTTTGAACATGACACTAGAGAAACAACAGTCGAATGAAACAACTGAATACACCAATGTTTACTTCAGAGGTAATCAAGAAGTTACAACGCAACCAGACACTATCAACTCTTCTATAGACAGACCATTAGAAAAAATGCGAGAAACACTAGAACGTTACACTAATATGGGTTCTGGTTGGGTTGTTGACAAGATTAACATGGTCTACCTGGATATAGCAAACTATATACAGTTGAAAGGTGGATCGTACTTACCCCTGTCTGAGTATTTCAAGAAAAAACAAGCCATGGTTAACGTTAAAAACCGAGGTAACAATTGTATGAGGATAGCGATAAGATCCGCTAAATTTCCAGCTGAAAAACATTCCGATAGACTTTCCAGTTATCCAGAAGATGATGGGCTCAATTGGGAAGGTATAGACGAACCCACCCCCATCTCTCAGATCCAAAAAATAGAACAACAGAATCAAGACTTAGCCATAAACGTTTTCGGACACGAAGGTAAAAACTTAATAGTACACAGGATAAGTCCTTTATTGTATAAGGATTGTCGTAAAATGATCAATATATTTATGATCCAACAAGGTGAAAAATATCACTACACATGGATAAAGAATTTCAGCAGACTGTTTTACAATCAATCGAAACACAGGGAAAAGAAACACTTTTGTGAAAGGTGCCTTCACGGGTTTTCTAGGGCTGATCTGCTAGATTCGCACAGGGTTGATTGCCTAGGTGTAGGGGAGACAGCCGTACGAATAGATATGCCGAGAGAAAAAAACAACATCTTGAAATTTATCAACCACAAAAATCAAATGCCAGTACCATATATTATCTACGCCGACTTCGAAGCTATCATTAAACTAATCGATACAGTGGCTCAATCCACTAATCAAAGTTTCACACAAAAAGTACAAGAGCACGAAGCGTGTGGGCTCGGGTATGTGGTCGTTCGTTGTGATGGTCAAACTAACCCTCCCGTTATTTATAGAGGACAAGACGAGGCTGAAGAATTTCTAAAGTGTTTACAACACGAATAGAAAAAGATAATTAAAAAACTATGCAACAAAACACCAATGCGTATGACCCAAGCAGACCGGGAAGCCCACAACAAAAGCACACATTGTCATGTGTGCTGTAAACCTCTGAATGGTGATTCAGTTAGAGATCACTGTCACATTACTGGTAAATACAGAGGTGCGGCTCACAATGAATGTAACTTGAAGCTAAGAATAAATCCTAAACTTATTCATATACCAGTGGTGTTTCACAATCTTCGCGGGTATGATTCACACTTGATTATGCAAGCTATTTCAAAGGTCAAAGGCAACATATCCTGTATCCCAAACAATATGGAAAGATATATATCCTTTTCGCTAAATGGGTTGATTCATAGATGGTGTTCAGTTTCTGTTGTCGTCTCTAGACAGCTTGGTCAAGGCTAATAACCCGAACGACTTAGCTGTAACTAATCGTTACACAGAAGAGGAAACTCGAGCTTTGCGCTACGTAAGGGTATCTACCCGTTTGAATATATGGATGACTGGTCTAAGTTTAATGAAACACAGTTACCTCCCATTGACAGCTTCTATAGCAAGCTGCCCGACGCGTCTATCACACAAGACGATTACGAACACGCGAAAAAAGTATGGGAAAAACTGGGGTGTCAGAATCTAGGTGATTATCACGATTTGTATTTGAAAACAGATGTGATATTGCTGGCTGATGTTTTCGAGATATTCAGAAAAACGTGTTCGAAGCAATACGGGTTTGACCCGGCATGGTATTATTCAAGTCCTGGGCTCTCGTGGGATGCCCTACTGAAGAAAACCGGTGTGAAATTAGAATTATTCACCGATTACGATATGCATCTGTTTATAGAGAAAGGGTTACGCGGTGAGAGAGAGAGAGAGACACAGAGAGAGAGAGAGAGAGACAGAGACAGAGAGAGACAGAGAGAGACAGAGAGACAGAGAGAGACAGAGACAGAGAGAGACAGAGAGAGAGAGAGACAGAGAGAGAGAGAGAGAGAGAGAGAGAGAGAGAGAGAGAGAGAGAGAGAGAGACAGAGAGAGAGAGAGAGAGAGGGACAGAGAGACAGAGAGACAGAGAGACAGAGAGAGATTCTTTATTTCCTCCACAAATCAATCCGAACATTATTGATACATGAATTCAATCAAACATACAACACATTAGTATTTAAATACAGGACAATGTTATTCATAGTTGACATAAGGATTGTAAAGTTTTGGGTAAGACTGTTGTATCAAGAAGATAATGTTATTCTAAAGAAAGCATATTCTTACCAGTTGTCTCTAGCAAACAAGGGCTTGAGTTGTTGGGCATTAGAAGTCAAATCATTATTGTTTCACTATGGATTCGGGGAAGTGTGGATAAATCAGGATGTAGGCATTATAAACCATTTTATTTCGTGTTTCAAACAAAGATGTATAGATATCGATAAACAACGTTGGTTCGAAGCCCTCCGTAAGTATAATAAACTAACTCTGTACCGTTCTATAAAACATGACGCAAATTTTGAACTTTACCTCTCGTGTTTACCAGTGAAAGTTTACTGTATTGCCCTTTCATCACACCGCTGCTCCAGTCATATATTATTAATTGAACAAGGTAGGAAACTAGGTTTAGCTAGGGAAGAAAGGTTATGTCCTTTGTGTGTGGTTAGAAATATTGAATCAGAATATCACTTTTGTTTAGTATGCCCATTTTATGATGGACTGAGACGAGCTATAATTCCTGCTTATTATCATACATTCCCTTCGGAAAACAAATTTAAACAGTTGATAGCAAGTAAAAATGTCTATGTGTTATCATTGCTTGCAAAGTATGTATTCTTAGCGTTCAAACTACGAGCACGTTTCCTGTCATTGCATGAATGATATATATATATGCGTATATGTGTATGTATGTATGTATATGTATGTATATATATATATGTATATGTGTGAATGTGTGTATATGTATGTGTCGCAGGCGCTTGGTGGTGTAATACACTGTATCTTCTGTATGTATAATGGGCCAGTGGCCCCCCATACTGTCAATAAACTCTCTCTCTGAGTTGACAATTGATATGTACAGAAACATTCACAAAGGGATGGCGTC